TAACCACCACTGAGTGGCTAAGAAGAGCAGGTCCTGCCAAGGATCCCTCTCCAACCATGCAAACTTTTGTTGTTGTTTGTTTTGTCTTTTTCAGACAGGGTCTCGCTGTGCAGCTCAGGCTGGCTTTGAGCTTACTTTGTAGGCCAGGCTGGTTTGGAATTCACAATGATCCTACTGCCTCAGCCTCCTGGGTGCTGGGATTACAGGCAGACACTACCATGCCCAGCCTCTCTCCAGTCATGTCTTACTCCGTCCCCAACAGCCCAGATAACCACACATATGGGAGATAATTATTTCTGTTTTCTTTGTCGTCTATGTGTAATTTCACCCACACATTTCCAATATTGTGTATCTTTTAGTTTTATACATAGGATCATAATATGCCTGCCTCTGCTTCTGTCTTCTGATCAGTATTATTTTTGGTAAGATTTTGCTTAGTTCATGCACATTTGTGACTGTGGTGGTTTTTGTGATTAAAAACTGCAGTTTATTTATCCTTTCTACTGTCAATGATCGTCAGGGCTATTCCCCATTTTGGGCTACTATGACCAGTGCTTTCTCACTGCTGAAATACAGCACCTGAACAGATTAAAGGAAAGATTTCTTTGGCTCATGGCTGTAGGAGATTCAGTCCATGGTCAGTGACTTGAAGGCAGAACTTCATGGCAGAAGGGTGTGGTGGAATAAAACTGCTTAGCTCATGGCAGTAGGGAGGCAGAGCAGGGAAACAGTGCCAGAGAGGAAGGGCTTAAGGACCATGTATAATCCCAAGGCCCATGTGTCCACTCAAGGCCATGACATATGTACACCTAAGGCCACTGCACCATGACATACCTGCACCAGACATACCCAGGAATGTGCTTCACTAATCTACAAAGTGTCTCTTAATCCAAGGAAATTGACAAGTTAGTATTTATGATCACAGCTACCATGAACATTTAAGTAGATAGATTAAGTCCTGTGGGGAAGTTTTTCAAGGGAATTTTCTAGAAGAGGATCTGCTGGATTGTAGGCCAATGACATCTCCACTTGACAAGATGATGTCAAACTGTTTTCCAAGATGGTAGTGCAAGTGAAACTCCTGCAAGCAGAGAGTATGCATGGTCATCACTACTTGATCCTACAACACCTCCTAAGTTTTAGCCTGTGTGGAGATTGTGTATGAGCTCCACTCAGGCTGTGATCACTGTCCCAACCGCTCATGTGACCCTCACAACAGCCCAGAAAGCTTGCTTTGCAGAGGAGGGAAACTGAGAGCCAGCAGACAAATCATTGTGCTGGGATGTGGCCCAGGCCTGAGACCACAGCTGTGCTTCTCCTGCAGTGTCACATACTGGCTGTGCTGGAGCCAGGAGCCATGCAGAAATAGGCAACTGTGAATACATTGGGAATTGACCTTTCTTGGGGAGCTCAATGCTGTGACCTCAGTCTTTGGTGCACATTGGAATTGTCCCAGTTCCTATCCCAAATCCAATGATGAGGCTCTAGTGAGTATGAAGATGTGTCTCACTGTGGTTTTCCTTTCCATCTCCTTGGTGACCAATGATGCCGAGCATCTTGTTATTGCCTTAGTGGTTATTTGTGTTTTCTTTAAGGTCTATTCAAGTCTTTCTGTTCATTTGCAATTGCACCATTTATCTTTTAATTGACACATAGCACTCCTTATGAATTATGGATACATCCCCTTTATGTGTTTAGCAGTATTAAGTCACCTATGATTTGTCATTATTTTTTGATGGTATCTTTTAAATAGTATAAGATTAATTTTGGAGGGGCTGGGGAGATGGCTCAGTAGGATAAGTGTTTGACTGGCAAATGCAAGGATCTGAGTTCAATCCCTGGTTCTGCAAAAAATAAATAAATAAATAAATAAATTAATTAATTAAAATATTTTTTAAAAAAGATTAATTTTGATGAAGTCTAGGTGGAATTTTTTTGTTTATTGCTAAGTTTTATGTCTTATGTCCTTAACCTTTCCAAGCTATGTCTCTGCACACTTTTACTGCACCTTTAAGGTGATAGTATTATGCCTTAAAGTTGGAGAAGCCTAGGTATGGTGGTTATCGCAGGTGTAGGGGGCAGATCCAAGTTTGACTCCCACATTTAATACTCACAAAGCAACAAGCCACTCTGCTTCTCTGAGTCACAGTTTCCCTATCTGCAAAATAAGATTTGGAAATAAGGACCATCCCTAAAATTTGATAGATGAGTCCAATGGGATAAAGCTCAGGCAGAATTTAGCAAAGAGCTGAACGTAAACAAAGTGCCTTGTAACAGCGATTCTGTTTTGCATGCTGGTTGGCTTCAAGCATCCGGATGAGCAGTAGGAAATAACATGGCTTATTGTTTGTTTCCAGTACATCAAGGCCTTTTACAATGAATCCTGGGAAAGAAGACACGGACATCCGATAGACCCAGATACTCTGACCCTGCTCTGGTCTGTGACTGTGTCCATATTTGCCATCGGTGGACTGGTGGGGACACTAATGGTGAAGATGATTGGAAAGATTCTTGGGAGGTCAGTTGGGGGCCGTCCCTGGGGGTCTCTCCTCAAGAATCGTCACACATCCGTGTCATCATCAAGGTCCCTGCAGCTGACAGAGCTCCACTCAGACAGTGCAATGACAGACATGTCAGAGCCCAAAGGGAAAAAAGAGACAATAAGGCTCCTGAGCCCAGGAAGAACTGGGACCGTGGGCAGTGGGCTGACGAGTGGGAGGAGAAGTTGTGGGATGGAGGTAGGCGGCTGGAATGTGTCAGAACCATAGAAGCCACGTGAGGAGGAGCAGGAAAGAAATACTCTTACCTCCCTCTCCTCAGAGCTTCCAGTCTCCTGCATGTGTCTCCCTCGGCCAAACTCCTGTGGAAGCCCAAGCCAGGGATCCTGTGTTGCCATCAAGAAGGGCTGTCCCTGGGACAGAACAGAACAGAACAGGAGGGACTTGGGTGTGAACGCAAAGGAGACCACCCAGTCTAGCACATCTAGATCTGCTTTCCGAGAAAGCTTCTTAGATCATCTTCTACTGTACGGATATCTGATTGATTATTTAACCACTTCCTATTTGATAGACACTTAGACAGTTTCACATCATTCACATTACAAGTAAGCCTGCAGTGAATATTAAAACCTTTCTGCCAAAATTTCCTACCCAAGCCTTCTCCAGTTAGATCCCCTTTACCTTGTAAGCCTCATTCCAAACTTAGTTTTGGCATGGAGCCTTCTCTTAAGATGGATTAGTTTAATAATACATTCCCCTGAATACTGTTTTCTCTCTACCTTTGCTGCTGATTTTGTGGGAACTACTGAGGCATGTGTGGAGAGTGGTTTTGTGAGCTAGAATCCTGAGTCTTCCACTAACCATTGAGGTAGGGTTGACCGAGACATCCATTTATTTGAACCTCAGTTTCCTTACCTATAAAATGAGAAGGCTATCTCCTATCTACAGAGAATGTTACAAGTCCTAGACAAAATGAATGGAGAAAGTCAGTAGCAGCTCAGTAAGTGGAAGGTACTATGATTACATGGCCCTCCTCATTGTCACCTTGACATCCATATATGGTAACTGCTCGGTGGATCCCCCATTGTATCAACCTGAGTAGAGTCATCAGGTGCTAGACAACCGCTCCAGACCCAGGGGCTAAGGAAACAGCGCTGGCCAGCCTCCTACCTTGCCTTTCCGTGCTGCTCTGTGGCCCCAGCAAGGAGCAAAGGAATGAATTTCTAGGGAGGCTTTCCCACTTCTGGGACAAGGAACCACCTTGAAAATGTCCATGTGGAGCTAAGATCTGTGTTCCCTTGGGGAGAAGGGGGACTGACACTTCTGTCCCCAAGGCTGAGTCCAGAGCAGCAATTAAGGGGATGCCAAGGAAGTACAACTATTGCCTAATGTAGTGAGAGGCGCCATCTCCTGTGGTCTCCCGTGTTCCCAGGGGGCATATTCATTCTTCTGCTCAGTTTGTACCACTGTGGGTTGGTCCATGAGGCAGGGAGTCAGACAGCTCAGGGTGTCTGTGCTGAGTCCTAACTCAAGCGTGGCTGAGCCCAGGCTGCGTCCATGCGTGCGTGACGTGGTCTCAGCACAGCGACCTCACATGGTACCAAGCAACTAAAGTCCATGACTACTGGACAACAGATATGTGATTGTCCGGCACCAAACTGGTGCCTCTGGCCAGGAGCCCTGCGGTGCCCTTCCCAAGCCTGGCTGTCTGCAGTCCTCCTGCCTACCCTGGTTAGTGTCAGCCTGGCCCAGACTCCACAGACTGTAGCATCTTCCTGCCATTGTGTGGCACAGCATTTGTGCACTGAAGATCCTTCTCGGGAGGCCTCAGAAGCCACTCGGTGGAATAGGGAAAGGGACAATGGCCGGATGCTGTGGCCTGGCAGATCCCACCCGCACCGCACCCCACGCGCCAGCCGTGTGGCATAGGCGTTGCTGTCTCATTGCTCAGCCAGGGTTTTTCATATGTGTAAAATGAGGTCACCAGCAGTAGCGTTCCCACCTCAAACACCGCGGCCCCAAAAGCAGCAAGAAAGCGAAAGAGAAAACGTGTTTGGAAACATCTCACATTTCTAAGCAATGGCAGATTTCTCCCAGCAAGCCAGTGGGGAGAGCTGCGGAGCCACCAAGAGAGAACACATCAAAGGCTGCTGGTTATTATGCCCCGAGCTGCTGTCAGTTCCTCTCTTCATCATTACAGGAGGGAAAGTTGAGTTGGTTTGATGTTTCAGCCTAAATAATAACTCTACTGAGAGGAAAAGAGCACCTTCTGCTCCATACCAGTGCTTGACAGATGATAGAACATTTACTTCTTTGAACTCTGTGGGTTGTTGTCCTTTATAAATGGCAAATATGAGACCCTGGAAAGCCGAGCAGTTTACCTTGTTGCAAAGAGTGAGGCTGAGCTGAAATTCAGACGCAGGTCTGTTTGTCAGCCAGTATACTTCCTCTGATGAGGGACCAGCTGAAACTCCTCTATTTCTTTTAGTCCTTGGCCTAGGGTGGGGCTCGCCAAGGAAGCAGAGGAAGCTGGGTTCCAGGTACAAGGCTGCAGAAGCTACGGCAGCCTGTGTGGTCCATGAGAAGGTGCTCAAGCATGCAGCTAAGGCTGAAATTAGAACTGGGTGCTCAGTGTTCAGGTGGCGCCAGTCACTGGCAGCTGCAGCAGTGGAGCAGTTCCTAGCGTGGTGCCCTCCTCTGTTACAGGGGAGGGAACTGGGCACCAGGAGCATGAGGAATCAGGCACGGTTCCTGCCACATCATCTCACCTGGGTCTCAAGGCTGCAGGTTCCTCACCTCTCAGAGACCCTGCTGGGGAAATCCCAGCCATCCAGAATGCTGGTGACCTGTCAGGCCCGCTTCTGGGCTCATCTGTCCTCTGCTTGCATGGCTGTAATGACAGAGCCTCCTTTCCTCATGAGACAGGACAGTGACTGTTTGGCCAGGGACAGTGGCCACAGGCTCAGCTTCCAGTCTGGGTCTGAAGCTTCCAGCTTGTAGATGAGTCACTTGAGCTCTCTGGGCTTCAGTTGGCTCACAGTGACACAAAGCTACAGCACACCCACATGGGGGCTTTCAAGGTGGACTGATACAGAGATAAAGGGCTCATCCCACTAATGGACTTAGAGTCAGGCCCAGCTTTTTGCTAGGGTCACCAACACCCTCAACATCGGCTCTTCCTGAGCTGGGTCATCGGATTGCTCCACAGAGAGAATTGTGCCTCTCTCCTTTAAATTGCACAAAGGCTCTCCTCCTCACCCCTACCATTTCATATACTTCTTCCCTATGGAACAAAGCAGAAGAAATAGGTGAGAAACTATAAGAAAACACACAGGGTTTCAAATCAGACCTGGGTCAGAATTATGGGCAGGCCACGGAGCCACTTTCCTCTGGGCGGCACGAGCCTGTGAGCAGCGCCAGCACAGGGCGCTGTTTTGGCACTTGCCCTTCATGAGCAAGGGTTCCAGGGCACGGGGGGCGGGGGGGGGCGGCTCATTACCAAGTCAGGGTGCTCGTGCTGCGGATGGGGTCGGGGTGCAGCGAGAGGAAGCTGGCGCAGTCCTCAGCCCTGTACAGTGCAGATAAGCAAATCCCCTGGGGAGCAGCTATGCCAGCTGAATGCGATCGAATTTTTGGTGTCTCGTGTCACTCAGGAGGCTGTCCTGTGGCAGGAAGCCAAAACAAACTGGCGTAAGCTCAAAGGGAATTAATTGCCTAACATAGCTCAAGCACAGCCTGGTTGAATGCAGTGGCTCAGGTGATATCAAGAGAACCCGATCAGATCCGTCTCTTTCCTCCAGCTCCCAGCTCTGCCTTCTTAGTCGACTGTGTTCACAGGAGTCTCTCCCGTGGAGGGACCAGGCTGCCCAACACTGAGACCCTCTTCTTGCAGGAGGAAACTCACTGACCCGGATTACATTTTGTGCCTTCCGGTGTTCTCAACCAAGGCCAATGGCACTCCATCAGGGGATGTTTGGCGATGTCCGGGGACATTTCTGGTTGTCATGACTAAATGCTACTGGTATCTAGGAGAGGTCTGGGAGGTTGTGAAATATCTTGCTATGCACAGGGCAGCCCTACGGCATTCTCTAGCCCCTGATGGTAGCAGTGCTGTTTTCCAGACCCTGACTAACAACATTCTAATGCACGCAGATCCCAGAAGGCTGTGAGAACGCTCATGAGTGTGAGGTGACCACTGAGGCTGTACCGTGCATGCGTTCCTGAAGGCACAGAGGGCAGGGACATGAGCACAGCCAGCTTTGGGACAGCGTAGGACAGCAAGTCTTCCCAGAGGAGATCAGAAGGGCTGGTCCCAGCGGAAGCACGAATATTGAGCAGGCCTGGCCCAGGCAAACAGTAGGTTCTCAAAAGTACGGTTTTCTCCTCATCTTCTTCATCCTCAAGCTTTCTTTAGACTGTGTCTGTACGTACCACAGTGGGAATCACTGTGGCTCTGCAGAGTACACTGTATCAGGCAGCCATGTCTCGGGCAGCTGGGCTGTCACTGTGGAGGGAGCACCACGGATCGCAGGAGTGAACACAGACTCGCTGTCCCACAGGTCTAGAGGATGGGGATCCAGAGTCAGGGTGGCAGCTGCTTCCTGCTGTGCCCTCTGACTGCACCTTTCCTCGCACACACAGCCCTGCTGTTTCTCCCTCTTCCTCTCAGAGTCGGTTGTCACTGAATTACGCCCCACTCTTCCAACCTCACTTAACTTACATCCTCATAGAGCCAACCTCCAAAAGCAGTCTTGCTGTGGATTAAGGCTCTGACGCTGTCGTGGCTTAGATCAAGAAAGTGCCCATAGACAGGTCTTTGGAAGGTGACTGGATCATGGGGGCCCACAGCTGACTGGCTGTACAGAGCAGGCTCTATCAGGAAGAGGCGGGTCACTGAAGCATGACCCAGAAGTGTGCATCTCTCTTTCTGGAACTGGCCTCCGCTGTCTGCTTTCTGGATGCCACGACGGGAGCGATGTACCTCTACCCAGATCCTTCCACCCTGCTGTTCTGCCGTAGA